AAACTCGTTCGAGCAATCTATAGACTAGCTCGTATAATGAGATACTCATATATAGAAGAAATTTTATTGTTGAATTAACAAAAAATTTAATAATAATCTTCAAAAGAAAAAAAAAGAAAACAAAGTTTTGAATATATATTTCTTTTTACAGATTGATAGAAAATTAATTCGTCTATTTGCTGAACAAATTTTTCGTACTGGTTTTGTACATGCTGATCCACATGCTGGTAATGTTCATGTTAGAATAAATCAAAAAATTAAATCAAAAAATTTTCCGGAAGCACAAATTATTCTTTTGGATCATGGTCTTTATGATAGTTTATTAAGTGAAGAACGTAAAATTTTTTGTGATCTATGGATGGCAACAATAAATAATGATCATATACAAATGAAACAATCAGCAACAGCATTAGGTGCACCAGATAAATATTATGAATTATTTTGTACATTAGTTACAATGAAACCATTACCTGATACAGAAGAATATATTATTCCATTATATGCAAATGATTGGGATCCATTACCACGTGAATTACAAATGTATGCATTAAAAAGTGGAAAATTTTTAATGCCAACTGAAGATGAATATAATAATGAATTAACAGATGAACAACGTCAAGAATTACAAAAACATTTTCGAAAATTAATGGATAAAAAACGTATTGCATTATTTCGTATTCTTAAACAAATGCCAAAAACAATGTTTCTTTTATTAAGGTTTGAATTATCAAAGGAGGAGAAAACAAAAAAAAAACAAAAGACAAACATAAATTTCATTGAAATAATTTGTTTTTTTTTTTCTATTTTGTAGAAATCTTAATGCTGTACGTCATACATTAAAAATTCATAATGTTCCTGATGTTGATCGTACACGTATAGTGACTGAAGTTTGTCAACAAGCATTAAAAGAATTTCAAACAAAAAAAAAGGAAAATATAATTCTACTACAATGAAACAAGAGCAAAAACAAACAAAAATGAGAATCTAAAATTTTTGTGCACTTTTTTGTGTTTGGTTTTTTTTTCTTTTTTTTAATTATATTTATTTATCAATTGACGACTCATCTATTGCTTCAACATATTGAATATCATCTGTATTGTGTGTAAGAATAGCTGTTATTAACGATACTGAAATAAATAAAGTTGCACCACAATGTACACCATATGCCCATTGAAGATAATAAACATGATGATAATGACTCAATGGAATTAATATAATTACAAAACAATCAAGTAAAAAAACGAATAATAATAATATAATTGTACATAACCAATATCGACGACGAGCTGTAAATGAAGTTTTAATAAATGATAAACTTGCTATTATCATTGAAATAAAAGCAATTATAAATGAAAGAATTATTAATAAGGCTGTTATAGGCATCCATAATAGATTATTATCATAAAGATATTGATTAAGACTGCATTCTGTTGTAATAGGATATGTTGAAGATTTTTTCCAATCAATACGTTTTATACAACTATATAATGGTCCATAATGACCATATTTTGTTTTAATCCAAAATGATGTTAATACAGCAATTAAGATAAAAAGACAATGAAGCATTGTTAAAAATATAATTGCTACTTTTATTGGTGAAACAATATAGATACGCTCAAATTTTGCACGAGGAGCATACATTTTTTTCTTCTTTTTTTTTTTTTACCAAGCAACTAAACGACTGACAAATAGATTCCTTTTTTTTTTTCTCTTCTAGCAGAATTCTTATATACATACTATTACAGAAATAAGCATTTATTCTCGTTTGCCTTTATATCCATCGGAAAAAACAACGTTTTCTCTTTGCTTAGGCAAGGAAAAAGAAGAGAAGAAAGAAAAAAACAGAACATAGAACATATCCGTTATTTTTTTTTTCTTGTTTGTACGATCCATCTGCTGTACTAAATAGAACAGATCTTGTTGCTCAAATGAAGATATAGTTATTTCGAGGTCGTCTGGCAATAGGCCACAGATATAATGAATAGTATACAAAAGCATTCATGATTATATTACTTAAACAGGTGTATTTGAATGAATATTATTATGCTTTTTCTCATTAATATATTGTATTATTTCTATGATAAACATATAAAAATGGAAAAAAAATGATTATATTTAGTACTATTACATAAACGATATTAATGTTTTTAGACTTCAAGGTCAATCTAAATATATTTATCTTGTTTAAATAAAGGATATATTCATTTTTTTTTTCTTGTTTTTTTCTTCGAGTATATTTGAATAGGTGTGCAAAAACTTAAGACAAACAACAAGCAACAAGATATGTGATGTGATATAAATTGCAAAATAGATAACAAGCTATATCGGACATCTTTTCGAAGTAAAAAAAGGACCATGTATGCGAAAAAAAAGAGGTGTTACTTATAAAGATCTCACATTTTTAATAGATAATACAAGCAAACAAACACCTCTTTTTCTTATCATATAACTCATCTCACTGCAATTTTTATTATTGTTAAAACATTTAGTGATGTGCTTATTTTGACTTAATATATAACAAGAATCTATTGAAAGCATGTTTCTACTACCAACATATCTATTAAGTATAGTCATTGTTTTTATTACTACAAGTCATGGACAATTTGATCAATCATTGTGTCCGGATGGACCATCTGCACCCATACCGGACCCAAAATGGCGCTCTATACCACAAAGATTTGAAATAATGACCGAACTAGTTTCTGGAACTGATGTGATGGAATTATCACAAGCTTTTTCACCAACACGTGATGCTATTGCAGCAAGTACCACAAAAGGTAGTCTATTATTTGTCATAATATCTTTGTAATTTTATTTAATTTTTTTCTTTTACTAGGCCCAATCCAATTTTATTGGAATTTTGGAACTAATGAAGCATTCCAGGTGTTAACTGCTGTTGTCGCTCTAAATCCAGTGCCAGTATGTCTACGACAAGTAATTACTCCTGAATCAGAAACAAGTGTCATTCAACCAAATACTCTATTTGTTAAACCATCAATTCTTCTTGGTTATGATCCACGTAATGAACCAAATCGTCAATGGGGTATTCGTTATGATGGTGATGAAGATTTACGTGGTATACCTACAAATCGATTTAAATCATGTTTTTATGTCAATGATATCAAAGCAACAGTATCAGCTACTTATTATGTATCTGATGTTAACAAATTTCAAGCTTATTTACCAGCAAATACAAGTATTATTGTAAAATTAGATGTGACTATATCACATCCAAGTGGACGTCGAGAATCATATACATATAATGTTTTTCGTTATACACCTAATCCACGAAGAAGTGAAGAACGTCAAGCATTAGAAACACCTGCAGGTGTATTTTGTCCAAATCG